GCAGTGCATGAATGTATTGTGCTTAATCGAATGTGTCAAAAGTGGTTTGAGAAGTTTTATGCTGGAGATCTCTCACTGGACAGTGCCCCACAATCAGGTAGACCGGTCGAAGTTGATAGCACTAAAATTGAGACATTAATTGAGAACAGTCTCTGCTATTCCACACAGGAGAGAGCCAACATACTCAAAATATTCAAATCAATAAAGTTATTGGTGAAAATGAAAAATGTATCTTACTTTATGGAAAACTGTACGGGCTTTTTGGCCAATTTGATAGGTTTGAGAAATGCTACTGTATTTCTTTGATTATAAGACCCTTGACTGTAAGATGCTCAGTCGATGTACCAGGAACTTTTTTTGGTGGAAAAGACACTTTGCTATATGAAAACTACTCTTTAGATTTTTATTTATTTGTTTGTTTGTTTATAGGCTGAGGGCAAGGGAGGGAGAAAGAAAGGGAGAGAAACATCAGTGTGTGGTTGCCTCTCATGCATCCCCTACTGAGGACCTGGCCCACAACTCAGGCATGTGCCCCCATGGAAATTGAACTGGCAGCCCTCTAATTCTTAGGCCAGTGCTCAATCCACTGTGCCACACCAACCAGGGCACTACTCTGGGAATATAATTTATCTGTCTTAGAAATTTAATTTTTTTAATTGATTGATTTCAGAGAGAAAGGAAAGGAGAGAGAAACATCAGTTGTTGTTCCATTTATTGATGCATTCATTGGTTGCTTCCCCAGTGTCCTGACTGGGGATCAAACCTGAAACTTTAGTGTATGGGTACCATGCTCTCACCAACTGAGCTACTCTGCCAGGGCTAGAAATTCACTTAATAAATTTGCATATTAAAAAGGTCCTGAAATAAAAACATCTGTTAAACTTTATTACTCTAAAGTTTTTCCAAACTTACTTAACCAATGAAGATTTTTCAAGGGAATACCATTAGCATTTCAGAAAATATTTTTTCTGGGAAAAACTACTCTGTCACTATTAAATACTGGAGTTTTGGTTATTGTTTTCAAATATTTTTTCATTATTGTAACAACATTGTATTCTCAGTTGATTAAGCATTTTTATTAGGAATTAATACTAAATTTTATGAAATGCCTTATCATTTTTCGAGGTCTGTCTTTTGACCCATGTGCAATTCATTTTAAATAAATTACTAATCTCAAAATAATCTTGTATTTCTGGAATAAATCCTAGTTGGTATTTGATTTTTGAGAAATATGTATATTCTATTTGCTGATGTTTTATTTAGGATTTTTGATTATCCATAGTGATAGCTGCTTACAGTTTCTTTTTTGGAGGCTATCATTTTGGGGGTCTTGGTAAAAGTTATATAGAAAATTATTTTGGAAAGCTTTGGAACAAATTATATAACTTAGGAAATTTGCATTACATGAATGTTTAAAATAATTATTTTCTGGATCTAATCCTTTCTTGTAGGTAATTCTCTAAAATCTGTGCAGTTTCTTCTGATTTACACTAGTATTCACGGTTTATATCTTTTCTTGAGTCAATTTCGATAATTTATATTTTTCCCGAAATTCATCCATTTTTCATCCCAAATTTTAACAATGTTGTGAAAATTATTAAATAGTGACTTCATTTAAAGTAGAGTCAGGGGGCCAGAGAGAGAGCACACACGGTTCCCAATGCACACTACCAACCCCAGCAGGAAGACAGGTGCTTTGCATCTCCCATAGACCGGAAGTGAAACTACTACCTAAGCAAGAGGAAGAAGAGATTCCTCCTTGCCCAGTAGCAGCAGCATAGCCAATGGGAGATTGAAAAACCAGCCAATGGAAAGTCATTAGACTTTGAACTTTCAGTTTCCTCCAATGTACTCTTCACTTACAATAGCCCCCTCCTAAGTCTTCAAAAGAGCAGTCCTCTTCTTTGTTTCTCTGGGTTTGCTGTGGTTCACCATCTAACCACAGTCTTAAATTGAATTTCTTTGTTATTCTTTAATAAACCCATTTTACTGGAGAAATATCTGGCTATTTGTTTAAAGTTAACAGTGTACATTTTACTAATTTTTGGTGTAGATGATCATTACATAACTTTAATTATTTTATTTATTGATTTTAGAGAGAAAGGGGGTTGGGAAGAGAATGAAACATCGATTTGTCGTTCCACTTATTTATGCATTTATTTGTTGATTGTGTACATGCCCTGAGTAGGGATTGGAACATAGTCTTGCTTTATCACATGGACACTCTAACCAACTGAGCTACCTGGTCAGGGCTAATCATCACACAACTTGTAAAATCTAACTGAAGTTATATACTTTATCAGAATATTGTCTGTTTTATGGTCTTTTTCAAAGAATTGGCTTTGTATTTATCCAATTGTTCTAAATTTCCGTTTTAATTGTTTCCTGCTTTTGTCTGTGTGATGTTTCCTAGCTTCTTAAGTCTTACATTTTCTTGGAATTATTTTACTTATATAATTTCTAAAATGGTATTCTCAGCTAATCTTTTATATTCATATTGATAATAACATTTATGGTTCTTATTTTTAGTATCTAAATAATCTATAATTATAGTTTAGTTTCTCTGTCTTCAATACTTTTTATTTAAAATTTCCAGTTTGAGGCTTTTTATTTTTATATTCTGTTATCAATTTCTAATATTTTGAGATCAATATATGCCTTTCAATTTCTATTTTTTTAGGAATTTAGAAGCATTTTCTCACTAACCTAATATATTAATTTGTACTAGTAAATATGTTATTTAACCTGTAAGTCCTATGTAGTTTTAAATTGAGTCATTATTTTATTATTCAAGTCATCTTTATCTTCATTTATTATCTCTTTGACCTGCCAAAGACCAAAGACTCATGATACAATTTCCTGTTACAATTATGTTTCTTTAGCCCTGGCTGGTGTAGCTCAGCGGATTGAGCGCAGGCCTGTAAACTAAAGGATCGAGGTTCAATTCCCAGTCAGGGCACATGCCTGGGTTGCAGGCCAGTTCCCAGCAAGGGATGCACGAGAGGCAACCATACATGGATATTTTTTTCCCTCTCTCCTTCACTTCCCCTCTAAAGATAAATAAATCTTTAAAAAATATGTTTCTCTAAATGTTTTATACTTCTTTCTTTAAAAAAAAGATTTATTTATTTACTTTTAGAGGGGAAGGGAGGGAGAAAGGCTGGCAGAGAAACAGCAATATGCGAGAGATACATCAACTGATAGCCTGTTGCACACCCCCAGCGGGGGGCCTGGCCTGAAACCCAGGCATGTGCCAACACATGCTCTGACTGGGAATGGAACTGGTGACCTTTCTGTTCACAGGCCAGTGCTCAGTCCACTGAGCCACATCCCCAGGGCTGTCTTATATTTCTAAAAAGTCTTTAAGTATTGGAACACAGTGTTTTTTGGCACAACAAAGTTAGTAACAGATGTTGTATTGACCTTAAACAAAGTCAGGTGTTTCTCCAGCAAAATGTGTTTATTTAGTAACAACATAGAATTGCAGTTCAAGACCTACAGCTGAATGGCGAACCGTGTGCAAATCCAGAGAACAAAGGGGAGGAAATGTTTTTTTTTTTAATAGTGGAATGGGAACTGTTCACAAAGAGGATTGTTGTAAATGAGTCCATTGGAGGAAACTTGGAATTTGAAGTGTAGTGGCTTTTCACTGGCTTAGTTGTAACTGTCATCTTTCATTGCCTGAGTGGTTGCCAGGTGAGATCTTCTGTCTGCTGGAGTAGTAGAAGCACATCTTCCTGTTGGAGGTAGCAAGTAGCCTTTTCCTGGTTGAGGTAATTGACGATGAGTGGTAGAGCAGGGAGAGAGCTCCCCTTTTAGGCTCTTCCAACTTCAATTTAAATGAGGGTTCTGTTTATTAACTTTAATATAGTCAATGTAAATTATATACTTGTCTGAGTCCATGCAAACTGCTATAACAGAATACCATAAACTGGGTAGCTTATAAACAACAGAAATTTATTTCTTATAGTTCTGGAGCCTGAGAAGTCCAACAGCAAGGCTTTGGCCAATTTGATGCCTGGTGAGGGCTGGCTTCCTGATTCATAGATGGCAATCTTTTCACTGTGTCCTCACATGACAGACAGAGTGAAGGCTCTCTTTAGGATCTCCTATAGGTGCACTCATTCTTTAGGGCTCCACCCTCATGACCCAACCACCTCCCAAAGGCCCCACTTTCAAGTACCATCACATTGGGGATTAGGTTTCCTTTTTAAAAAATTATTTATTGACTTGAGAGAAAGAGAGAAACATCAATTTGTTGTTCCATTATTTATGCACTTATTGGTTCTTGTATGTGCCCTGACTGGGGATCCCGCAACCTTTTGGTGTATGGGATGACACTCCAACCAACTGAGCCACCTGGCCAGGGCTGGAATCTGTTTTGAGCTAAGGTACGAGGTAAGATTCTGCCACCTTTTATCTTCTAGATAGTTATCTGCTTGATGTACACCACTTATTATAAGAAACACTTCTATTTCTTTAATTAATTGAAAATGCTGCCTTTACCTTAATACTAGATTTCTATTTTGTTTGTGTCCATTTTGGATCTCTTTGTTTTTTTAATCGGTATAGACTTATGCCAGTACCACATTTTTTTTGTTTTTTTAAGGATTTGTAATATGTTTTAGAACCACATAGATTTTAATTATTTCTTTCTGGTTTTCTTGAAACGACCATTTCTTACTAGTCTCCCTTTGAATCTCATTCAGCTGTCCTTTCCTTTCAGTCGAGGCTCTTTACAATTCTTCTGGCCCTATTTTCATAAAGTTTCCATCTTATTTTATTCAAGGCTGCCAGACAGTTCCCTGAAATTTTCTTTTGGATAGATAAAGCAGTAATTGCTTTTACATCCCCTCAGTTTTTGTTGTTCTTTCTTATTTGTTTTTCCTCATTCAGTTTGTTTTTAAATTTCTCTTTCTTTTTTATTCCTGAATAGAGTAAAATCTGTCCAGACTCAGATTTTGGAATTGTACTAATCAGTGTTCCTTTCTCGTGTTCAGGCAACACTTCCCCAGATCAAAAGGAACCAACCCCTTTCATCATCGAGTGGATCCCAGACATCCTTCCACAATCCAAGATTGGTGAGCTGCGGATCAAGTTTGAGTACGGTCACCACCGGAATGGCCATGTGGCAGAGTACCAAGACCAGCGGCCGCCCCTGGACCAGCCCTTGGAACTAGCCCCTCTGACCACCATCGCTTTCCCTTGAGGCAAAACGAAAGTTTCTTTTGCTGCTAAATTTGCACATCCTCACCCCTTGACAACTTTAAAGACTAGTTAGGTACTTAGATGGCCCTGTTCCTCGGTGAACTGCTTTTTGCAAAGATGCAATTTCTTAACGCATCCAGGTGAATTCTCTTGAAGAAAAACTCTTCTTATAAATAGCCTTTTTGGTGCTGCTGTGTATAGTCTTCATTATAAATGGGGTGGTATTTCTGGCTAAAGTTTTTAAAGGAAAAAAAAGAATATCAGCTCACTTTCCTTCTTAAAGGATTCACCTTGGAAGTAGTTAGCAACACTCCACCGTACACTAACAGTGTTGGATAGTCAATAATAGGCTGGTTAAGAAGAATGTTAAGGACCATCCTTGTCAGAATTCCAGTCATGCCCTTTTATTCTGTTACCAAATAAAGCACAGTGTCGCTAGTTTTTCCAAATTATACTTTGTGTTGGCCTGATATAAAGTTTGAACCTTTTGGGGGGATTTAAGTAATAGCAAAATAGGAAAGAGAGGTCCAGGTATCAAGGGAATATTGACAGGTCAAACTAATGCTTGTAATTGCTTATTCACTTGATATTTATTTCCTTCTTTATTCTCTAAAGAATTTAACATCTGGTAAAATTCAGTTCCTACTTTTCAGTTCATTGACCATAGAATGGAAATATGAGAGACACAGAAATGGAAGTTTGTTTTCATGGGGAAAAGGGAATGGCCATTTCCCTTACACCTACTACGTGCCAGGTCTTTTTTTTTTTAACACTCATCTTTTTTAAAAAAGATTTTATTTATTTATCTTTAGAGGGGAAGGGAAGGAGAGAAGAAGAGAAATATCAATGTATGGTTGCCCCTCGTGGGTCCCCTGCTGGGAACGGGCCTGCAACCCAGGCATGTGCCCTGACTGGGAATTGAACCGCGATCTTGTGGTTCACAGGCCCACGCTCAATCCACTGAGCTACACCAGCCAGGGCTTTTTTATTTGCATACCTACTTAATTATTTTTTTCCTTTAGTTTTCATTCTTTGAGTTTTAGGTACTAATCCCTTCTTTTATAGAGTAAAGGGAACGGCCTCTCTGAGGTTAAGTATCTTGCTGGAAACAACATGAGGAATGTTTTGTTTTACTCCAAAGGGTATATTCTTTCCATTTTGTCACACTGCTTTGTGTAAATTCTTTTTTTTAAAGATTTTATTTATTTATCTTCAGAGGGGAAGGGAAGGAAAGAGGGAGAGAAATATCAATGTGCGGTTGCCTCTCGTGCATCCCCTGCTGGGAACTGGCCTGCAACCCAGGCATGTGCCCTGATTGGGAATCGAACCACAGTTATTTGGTCCGCAGGCCCTTGCTCAATCCACTGAGCTACACCAGCCAGGGCTGCTTTGTATAAATTCTTTATAGTTCATTGACCTTGGGAACACAAGAAAAATCCATATGAAGTAGTCTCTTGGTTTTCTTTTCATTGCAAGTAACAAAACCCAATTCTCATCAGTTTAGTTAGGCCTTAGAACTCCAGGAGCTAGGCTTCATCTGACCTATCTCTGCGTCCCCTGGGGCTTCTGTTAGAATACTGGCTTCTGACAATGCCTGAAAGTATGGCTTCCATGCTAGAGCAGGACCAAATGCTCTACTCTCTCTGACCCAAAGGGCCAAAACTCTCAAGAAAGAGAGTTGGCTTAATTTGTATGTTTGTGTGTGTGAGGGGTGTGTATGTAAGCATTTTTTGTAAAGGGGGAGCTGTGCCTCTAAAAGAAGGAATAGACAGGTAAATTAACTGTTGTGTAGCCTGTATCGTTGAGGTGCTAGCTTATGTGGAGAGTTCCCAAGTGTTTCCAATAGTGGGGGAAATCCTTGAGAAGAGTCCAGGGAAGTCCACAGAGAATTTAGAACTTGCACCGGGCTTTAAGGAGAGGAAAGGCTGGATAGGTATGGAAAAGAGGAGAAATTAAAACTAGGTAAGGGAGAGAGCTTGCCTAAAAAGCAAGAACACTCAAGGAAACACATGGGTGGCCCATTCTGAGAAATCTTCACTCCAATAACTAAGGATATTGGTCACAGCTTTTTTAAATCCTCACTAGAGGATATGTTTGTTTGTTTGTAATTTTAGAGAGGGGAATCAAGAGAGAGAAACATCAATCGGTTGCCTTCCATATGTGCCCGAACTGGAGATCAAACCTACAACCTAGGTATGTGCCCTGACTGGGGATCAAACCTGCAATTTTTTGGTGTACAGGACAATGCTCCAACCAACTGAGCCACCCGGCCAGGGCAGTCACAATCTTTTGAGCAAGACAAACCTGTGAGTGACAGGCAATGTGTGAGTCTAGCAATACTTGACAGACTCAAGAGAACCATAGGGAACGTAAAACACCTGGTGGAGGAAAATGATCCACCCAAAGAGGCCCTAATTCAAATGCTAAGGTCTTTACTCAGGACCATCTTAGCACATCAATACATGGAATGGGGTTCAGATATACATTGACCCTTCTAACTTGATACCATTTCTACCCCAAGTACTAGTAGGACCTCTGCACCCACTCCCAGTGTCCAGACACCTCTAGGACACCATCAGCATTGACCTCGTTTGGGACTCACCCACACAGGAGTGGTCCTAGGTACTCCCACCAGAACACAATGCTTTTCAAACCCTGTACCTACCTGCTTTTCCCACCCATACACACTCCCATCTGTACTATTCATTTGCACACCTCTTCCATTCATTGGAATATGCCACCTCTACAGGCTGCCCAGCTGCTCCCTTTCTACACTGCAGACACCATTTGTATTCTGGAGTGAATAGATCAAAACCTTCCATGTCTGCAAAGCCACCTGTCTAAAGCACAGACTGAGTGGGTCTGAGAGGGATGCTACCTTAACTGCGCCTCCATGCAACATTTGGGGGGGGGGGGTGCAACATTGTGGGCATCATGAGAACAACTTGCTACTCCTCCACCCAGAACATTTTGGTTCTAACCTATCATGTCCCTGCCTCTATCAAAAATGCTGTCATTTTTGCTAGTAATTAGAGGAGTGATAGGCCACTAGGAGACCTCCAGAAGTGCTGACCTCAAGAACTACCCACCAAAGCAAAGGTCTGTAGGCCTGCCGCCCAACTCTCAAGGCACCAGGTATCATCAGTCCTGTGGCCCTCTGGGCCCAGCAATTCCCAGTCACATAAGTCTGCCTCACCTTTCACTGAATCCTGTTATGTCTTATCTGCCAATAATCTGTCCTTCCATTCAGCCCACATGTGCATACACACATGCACAAACATCACACACACAGTAGCCCCCAGCCCCTTCCACTTACAGATTGCAATCTGTTTATGCCATAGGAGAACCAGGCACTGACAGAACAGTTAGAAAAAGTCCAGAACTTGCCCTCCCCCTGAAACTCAGGGAAAACCCACTCTCTCTGCTAAAAGCGAGGAAATGGGCAGGGGCCGTCCTCCAGTCTTTAGTGAACTGGACCCTCTCCAGCATAAGTCACAGACATAAATTTTTAAAAAAAAAAGCCACAGAGAACAATCCTTGTGTTTATTTGTTGGGGTTAATTTTCCCAAGATAGACCTGCTTGGGAAACCTCATCAATCAGTTTCTCCTTTCTTTTTGTTATCTCCCAGATTGTGATTTCCTAGTTTTCTTCCTTTGCATCTTGTGGTATTTTCTGATACTCCTAATTTGATACTCATGATAAACCTTACAGACCTTGTTCCCTGTCTGTCTGCCCTCCCATTATCCAGATTTGTAAGCTCCCTTCACATCTTCCTACCATCCCATGCTTCCGTGCCTCACCAAGGGAGAATAACTTGTTTTACAACAGTGCCTTAGTGTGCATAGAAATCATCCAGGGATGTAGGTAGACTGCATATTCTGATTCAGAAGTTGTAGGGTGGAGCCCAAGATTCTCCATTTGTATCATCAAGCTGGATGCAGAAAGTACTGAACTTTGCTACACATGTACTTTGAGTAGCAAGACTTAATGCCCGATCTAGTATTGTGACTCACACCTTTCACTGCCACTATCAGGGACAATGCTGGCAGCCAATGCCAGCAAATAGTGGCCCTTGCATACAGATAGAGCACCAGCCAGCACATAGCTAGTTGTTTTACTGCACGCTCCCACAAAGTTACTCCAACGGATGGAGGTCCTAGCCTTGCTTCTCAGATCTAACTCCAACTCCACAGCCCCAGCAACAAACTGCATCTGTAATCACACACATCCCCTGCCATTTTTCTGTCTTCTGCGCAGCACATCTTCCATTGCCCTCCCAACAACCATTATCCTAAGGTTCATATTTTAAGCCCCCCGGTTCAAACTCTGCCTCTGCCACCTGCTTATTAATCCTTTGAGCCAATTTCCTCACGTGGATCATGTGCATAGTAAATAAGACATTGTGTGTGAGAAACACTTATTAAATAGCTAACCACTACCCTTTGGCTTAGTTTGCACTTCTCCCTTCTCCCTTCCTCTTCTACCGTGTTTTCCTGAGCATGTTTTTCTCTTAGCCTTGAGGTTCCAATTGTGTTGTCCCTCCTTGAAAATTTTTGTACCTAATACCAGTGTTATGCAGCAACATCACAATTTAACGTTTAAAAAAAGGCTGGAAGTAAATATGAAAAGGAGGGGTACTGTACTCATAGTCTTCATTTTCCAAATTTTTGTAATAAATACTTTTACTTTGATAAATGAAAAAACACAAAGTTGAAAATACAAAGGAAAGGGCATAAAAAACAAGCTTCTATACTCTACTGAAAGGAGGAGGAAGAGAAAGACTCGGAATGCCACGAGTGGGAGCTGGTCACGCGGCTGTCGTCCCTCGCCCCCGCGAGATGACGTTAATTACATTGTCTGGGCTGCATCGCAGCTTCCGACGGGTTTGACCACTCTTCTTCCACCAGGCGGCGCCGCAGAACACCGTTCTGTGGCGAACCATTCCTGCGCAGCCGCACTGATCCTCCGGACACGTAATCACCTTCGCGTCTTTTCTGGAGAGCGCGGGAAGGCGAGAAGGTGGTGACGTCACCGGGGTTCCCCGCGTGGCTCGTGGGGGCGGGGCCGCGGACGTGGCGCACGCGGGGTGGGGGGGAAAAAGGAGGGGGAAGGGGAAGAAAGGAGAAAGGAGGGGGTTGGGGCTGTGTGCATCTGAGGCCTCTTCTAGGGCTGACCGGGCAGCGCACGCTCCAGCGCCCGCCTCGTGACCCACTGTGGGGCCGAGTCCAGACTCAGTTGCGGAAAAGGTGCTGATGAGGCGGGTCTCGGCGGGGAGGAGCGCCGGCGGCCTCCTGCAACGCTCTGCGGAGGTCCTTTGCCGGCGGGGGCCCCACAGGCGTGCCTTTAGACCCACTTTTAGGCCGGGTACAGGCTTCTGACGCCCTTGGCGGCCGCTCCTTTGTGCAGGCGGGGCCGAGCTTGGAATTTGACCCGCGGGTGTTCCGGCGCCGC